AAAAGTAGATCCAAAAACCTGCTTGTTTTTTGTACATATTGATTTTGAAGAAACCAACAAAGGGTAGCTCATTCTGACATTACAAAATATTATTTTCTAAGTTTTGCTGTTGATTCAGACTTGAATAAAACAATAATTTTTGTTTCAATTATATTATTCAATTATTTGTTTTTTTATATTTTTTTATTACCAGCACCAACTACCACTTGCACTATAAATAATACCGATGTATAAGCAGAGGGGAGCTTTGAAGGATAAAATGATGTAAATACAGGAAAACAAATAAATAAAAATAACTTTCGAAGTTCTTCAAAAACATCACGATTTTTCTTAAACTCAGTAAATATCTTAATGTATCTAATTCTGAAGATGCATCTCCTTAGATTTAATATTTGTATCAGCAAAGGAAACAACACACTTAATATTGCATGCTCTGTTGCTACAGCATCCTGACTATCATTGTTGATCAAGTTTTCCCCACCTGGAATTTCTACAGATCAGCCCCTATAACTGCTTTAATAAAAGCTCAGTTAGGAAAGCTGTTTTGTTATGACATGGTGTCATTTACATAGCTCTATTATTAGTTTTCTAAAACTAGATCTCAAACGACATTTATAGTTTAAATTAATCAAGCTTTTGCTGATTATATTTTCGTGTGGAGTTTAGCATCTCTGCTTTCTTTTTTGTTTAATAGGGCTATGGTTAATTAACATTACAGAAAATGTTGATTTCCTGTTTAAATTTTTGTTTGGATTTTTGGAAAAAAGACAAAAACTGAATTTTATCTAAACGTTGATAGAGTTTTTGCAATCAAAATGCATATACAAAAAAAATAGGGTGTGATATTGAATAAGCAAGTTGCACAACCAACAAAATTGCAGATAATAAAAAAGGCAAAACTACCCATCATTCCAAAGAAAATGAAAATAACAACAACAAAAAAATTACTAGAAATTCAGACCAAAACATTTGATTGAATTAATCCTGATTATTCGATCATTGAAATAATCAACCAATTTTGTAAACACCTATTAAATGCAGTGTACAGATTCTAAATCATGCCTGAAAAGAATCACAACCCACTCAAAGCAGTAATTAAACAACAACTATATGAAATATTCTGTATATATATTTTGCATATTAGATGAAAAACCTCCCTTATAATTATGCAGCAGTCCTCAATGGGTTTTATAAAAAAAAAAAAGGAATTTCAGCCATTTTTTAGCCATTTGCTATTTATTTAAAATTTGCAAAAGATACTTGTTTTTTTAGTTCAGATACTCATTTATTTTTGTATATTATAACTAAGAGTATGTTGATTTTTACCGGTTGAAAAAAATCAGCAACATAAATAATCAGTAGGCCTAGCTGTTGCCTTGCTTTGTATCTAATGTTATGTTAGGATATAAATAAAAGCCCTATGCTGTGCTAATAATGCTCTCATGTCATTGTCTCCTCTGTTTTTTTAATGAAAGGGTGAAATGTGGTTTCATCCTGATGGAAGGAGAAACTATTATTTATGTTGTTGATATTTTTCAACCAGTAAAGATCAACAAACTCTTAATTATGATATACCTCTATAAATGAGTCTTTGAATTACAAAGCCAGTTTCTATTACATATAAATAAATAGCAAATTGCTTAGTAGTGGCTAAAAATTCTCATATATTAGGTTGTGCAGACTGTTTTTTTCTGATGTGAGTAAAAATCAGTCTTCACAAGCCAAATGCTTAGACTGACAGTTGCAAACATGGACATGAGGAATAAACAAAGGTTAGAATAAATTACACTTTTGGCTTTCACTCAAAATGTGAACATTTGCAACTCAATATTGTTTTGTGCTTGATGGTCTTTGAAATCCATAAGCTCTTTTTTGGCAAATAACAGAACGGTATTGGAGAGATACAGTATGTCTGTGTCAATTATGCAGTGATATTTGAAACTGTTTGTAAATACAGATAGGAACACTTTGAAAATGAGAGAAAAATCATGAAAGTGGAAATTATGCTTGAAAAAATAAATGAAACAAGATGTTTCTCTACATACTTTTTATCTTTCCTGAGTGGTTCAATGTTTGCCTAACCCTCATCTCTGGCACTGAAATGTTAATCTGATATAAAATATGCAATGGAAGTCAGTGATTGACAGGTTATTCAAATTTGTCAGTTGGATCTGCCCAATCTCACTGAATAGCTATCCCATCGAACAGCTGACCTAAGTTAAATATTAGTTATATCTAACTCTGAGCTACCGGAGCTAAAAACATAACTTTGGCAGGTTGAGTTTTTGGTAAATATTTACAGAAAAAATTCACTCAAAGTGGTCATAATATGTTGTCCTTACTCTCATATTATTAGTCCATTATTCCTAATGGAGCTATGTTCTTATGACATGTTCTTTATTGTTTCTTCTAGTTTTATTGTTCACATTAGTTCCAAGAGAGGCTGAAATTGCAGTTATTTTAGGCTATAAACAGCCAACTCTGGCAAACCTGTCATTCACTGCAGCATCTGGCACTGCAGCACATCCACTTCCTTAACCTTTATATTTTATCCATCCATCCATCCATCCATCCATCCATCCATCCATCCATCCA